TCAAACCATGTGGTGGTGAGAGGGAACGGAGGGCGCGGTCGGTCCGCTCCGCCCTTTATCACCTCGGACGAAACCATGAGGCGGAGCAAGGGTGCATGTGCGGACCAACGGACACTACTAGTTTCAAAATCTCTGGCTCCAAGTGCATGCATATAACCCTCAGTGGCATACAATAGGGACCATCACTCAAAGAATACAGTGAAACTGACAACATACAAAGAAAGCTGTCAAATGCACAGAATATAAAATGGACAAAAGGAAAATATTTAATTTTTGATCTCTTCCTGGGGGCTTCTCTACCCTAGAAAGGTTTTCTGCTTTAACTATATTGGAATAGTTAAAGCGGCAACATCCCTCCACCCTATGTCGATGCAATTATACTGGCATAAAGGTGCTTATACCACCGGTAGAGCTTATTCCAGTTTGGGAAGCGACAAACTATAATGGTACAAGATATCTTTATACCAGTATAATTGTATAATCCCTAGACCAGTAGAACGACTGGTTTAAAAAAAAAAAATCACAGCCCTAACCAACACTGACTAGGAACATTTCTCTCATGTAGACCAACCTTGAGATGTTACCAGTAACAAAAATAGGTACAAAAGTTGCTACTGAAGTGATTTTTAAGTTGTTTAAGGGACACCATCATCAAATCCCCTTATCTATAGTTAGGGCCCTACCAAATTCACTGTCCACTTTGGTCAATTTTTGGTCATTGGATTTTTAAAATTGTAAATTTCATGATTTCAGCTATTTAAATCTGAAATTTCAGTGTTGTAAATGTAGGGATCCTGACCCAAAAAGGAGTTGTGGGAGGGGCCGGGGGATCACAAGTTTATTGTTGGGGGGGGGAGGTTTGCGGTACTACTACCCTTACTTCTGCACTGCGGGTGGTGGTGCTGCTGCTGCTGCCTTCAGAGGTAGGCAGCTGGCGAGCGGTGGCTGCTGGCAGGGCATGCCACCTTTACTTCTGTGCGGCTGCTGGCGGCGGCTCAGCCTTCAGAGATGGGCTCCCGGCCAGCAGCCACCACTCTCCAGTTGCCCAGCTCTGAAAGCAGCGCCACCAGCAGCACAGAAGTAAGAGTAGCAGTACCACTACCCTCCCTCCAATAACCTTGTGACCCGCCCTGCGACTCCCTTTTGCATCAGGACCCCCAATTTGAGAAACGCTGGTCTCCCACCTGAAATCTGTATAATATAGGGTAAGAGCCCACAAAAGACCAGAGTTCACAGTCTGTGACACGTTTTTCACGGCCGCGAATTTGGTAGGGCCCTATCTATAGTAAATAAATCACCGTAAGATCATTGCTACTGGAAACATTTTCAAAATCTGATTTTTCACTATACTGTTTTCTTAGGGTTTTGTCTTCACTAGACTTTTGAATTGCCAACTCACTTGAAGTACTTAACAGATTTGCAAAGGCTAGTGTGGACACCTCCCACACATTTGGCCCAGGCTACAAATGCATGGGACTGGTAAGAGTGGGATGGACTGTATGGGGAGTGCCCTTACAAACATGTTAAGTATCTCCAGTTAATTGTCAATCACTGAGACCTTGTCTACACTTGCAAGTTAGAGTGCATTGAATCAGCCCCGGGCGCCCTAACTCCTGAGGTTTCCACACTGGCAAGGCACTTAGAGCGCCTGGACTCCGCGGCTGGAGCGCCCCTGGTAATCCACCGCCACGAGAAGCATAGAGCTTGCTGCGTCCTGGCTGAAGCGCTGGGATGTCAGTGTGGATGACGTGTTGCATTACTGCGCTGTGATTGGCCTCCGGAAATGTCCCATAATCCCTTGAAGTCAAGTGGCCACTCGTGTCATTGTTTTGAACTCGGCTGCAGGCATGCAGATATCCCCTTTCAAAGCTCCGTTTCTGACAGCCCGCATGCTTATCTGCTCTGGGACACAAAGCAAACCATTACTGTGGAATGCTGCTGCTGCAGAGACAGGCATGTGTGCGAGAGAGAGAGAGGGGTGGAGGCTGATATCGGGGTTTTCCCCTTCCCCCGCCGCTGTCTGAACTTACAAGACAGCATGCTGACACACTCTGCCCCCAAAACACACTGTCTCTCCCCCTTTGAAAAGCAGCTGACAATCTAGTAGGATGCCCTGGAACAATGGGATTGGGAAACCTGCATCATGTGATGCTGTGCCTGCCCCATTAGGCATTGCAAACCCCTTCCAAAGCACGCTGCAGCCACTTGCACACTGGGATAGCTACCACAATGCACTGCTCTTTGTGGCATTGCAAGAGCTGCTAATGTGGCCACGCCACTGCACTTGCATTTGTGTGAACACACAACAGCGCTTTCCCTGCTGCTGTCTCTGAGGGCTCTACATCTGCAAGTGTAGACATAGCCTGAGTAAAAACATCTGGTGTAGGCATAACCCTTATTCTTTACATTTTTCTCAGTTTGCTACTAAAAACATCAGTCATTTATACTTCAGTTTCTAGTTCTCTGACACTATCATAATGCTGCAATGTTTGGGTTCAGAATATTGCAGAACATCTATTGCATACAAATGGTTTCCACTGGAAATTTAAATTAATATATGGAAACATTTTTACTGGTCTTAGGTTTTGTACAAGCTTTAGACTACCTGAAGTTACGTTTGGCCCTAAATTTAATGTAGGGCACCCATTCCACAATCTCAGAGCATGAGTATCTGATCTAGTAGCATGCCTCTAAATCCCAGTCTTTTATTCATGCACATTTGTTTAGTATTGAACTCACTACCCAAGAGAAGGTATATTCATCAACTAGACTATTACTGACTACCACATTAAAGATATTCTGCAGTAAGCATGATAAAGCAGCTATTTTCTTGACCCTCAGAAGCCTACCAATGTAGTACTCTCTCTGTCTATGTTAGGCTGTGTATGATCTATAACTGGGGTCTCAAACTCAGATGACCCCGAGGGCCGCATGAGGACTAGTGCATTGGCCCGAGGGCTGCATCACTGAACCCCTCCTCCCCCACTGCCTCTGGCCCCGCCCCCACTCCGCCCCTTCCAATTAGGCCCTGCCCCTGCCCCACCTCTTCCCACCCCTTCCCTGCCCCATTCCAATCCCTTCCCTGAAGTCCCCACCCCAACGCTGCCCCCAGGGGGTGCAGAAAAGGCGCAGGGTGCAGCGGGGGCTGAGGGCAGGGAGTTGAGGTGCAGGTGGTGTGCAGGGTGCTCAGGGCAGGGAGTTGGTGTGTAGGGTACAAGTGGGGTGCGGCAGGGGATCGGGGTGCAGGGTGCAGCAGGTGGCTCAGGGCAGGGAGTGCAGGAGGGGTGCAGGATGTGGCAGGGGGCTCAGGGCAGGGAGTTGAGGGTGCAGGATGTGGCAGGGGGCTCAGGGCAGGGAGTTGGGGGTGCAAGAAGGGTGTGGGATGTGGTGGGGGCTCAGGGCAGGGAGTTGAGGTGTGGATGTGGCGGGGGGCTCAGGGCAGGGAGTTGGGGTGCGGGATGTGGCGGGTGGCTCAGGTCTGGGAGTTGGGGTGTGGGATGTGGCAGGGGACTCAGGGCTGGGAGTTGGGGGTGCAGGCGGGATTCAGGGTGTGAGCTCCAGCCTGGTGCCGCTTACCTAGAGCAGCTCCAGGGTGGCAGCGACGCTCACTGGGGCCAGGGCAGGCTCCCTGCCTGCCTTGGCCCCGGCTCCCTGCTGCTCCGTTCTAGGAAGCAGCTGGAACCGTGTCCCTGCAGCCCCTGGGGGAGGGGGAGGGGCTCAGGCTTCCCTGCTTGTGCAGCTCTTGCCGCTCTTCTAGGTACCTCCCACGAAGCTCCCATTGGCCGCGGTTCCCTGTTTCCAGCCAATGGGAGCTGTGGGGGGCGGTGCCTGGCAGGAGGCAATGCCGGAGCCCGCTGCCTCCTTCCCCCTCCCCCCAGCCCGAAGGGGCATGCTGCCAGCTGCTTCAGAGAGCAGCGCGGCACTTGCAGCATCAGGAGGCAATCCCACAGGTAGGCAGGGGGTGCGGGGAGCGGCGGGGGAGAGGGGGGGGCGTGGGGAGCTTGGCAGGCCACACACAAGAGCCTGCGGCCCGCGTGTTTGAGACCCCTGATCTATAAGAATGCCATGTTTTTAAGAAAATGCATCTTAAAACAGATACAATGTTAAGACAGTGGCTGTACTATTCTCTAATGATTATTTCATATTTCTCTCTCTCTCTCTCTCTCTCTCATTGGGTTGCTGTAACCAGAGATCTATTATGGAAAAGATTAAAATAGAGAATAAATGAATCAGAATAGAACAAAGTACTAAAAATGTGAGACAAGATGGGAAACAATACCTTGCTGGCAGTAGGTCTGGATAATGCAGCTTGCAGAGATCTGTCTCTATATATCATCTTCTACCTAACTAATTGTACCCTGCACTTTTCACCTTCTGTATGGTGTTGTCCTAACCTCTGATCTTATGGTGTTGTCCTGATTTTAGATTCTTCATATTTTTAAAAATAACTTGTTTTGAAAGATATATATCTTATTTCATGTGTAAAGCCTTAATTTTGTGAGAAATTTGACCAGTTATATATTTTTCTCCCCGCCCCCAGACTTTACATTTATATAAAGAGCTAGAAAGATTTTTGATAGTTTCACTTTCCGTTAATATCAATTCCTGCTTAAGCAAGAGACATAAGCCGTATTCAGACCACTCACAAATCTCATACTCTACTTTGAACTTTCCTACTTTATCATAAAATTATATTAATACAGGCATGGTTATGTCTAACTGAAAATGAACTAAATTTGTTGGTCAAGATAATTCTCTTCATGTCAGTTTTTTAATGACACTAGTTTTGATATAGATTTCACATAATCTCCCTTCATCAACTACTAGAAAATAATGCTATTGGAAAAGGAGGCAGCACTTTCAGTCTGTTGGCTTTTGTAGCCTAAATATCAGAAAGGAAAAATAAGAGATGAAACAAGAGATGAAATGCAACTGAAAATAAATACAACTACAAACTAGGCCATTATAAATTCTCACTGAATCAGTTTTTTTTTTTTTACCTTAAGCCATTTATCGACACACTTGGCATGGAACTCGTGGTTACAAGGTAAGACTCTAAGTAGCTGCCTTGACTCAAAATCACACATGCATACTACGCACCTAAAAAAAAGATTGCAGAGTTTGAAGTTATTTACTATTCAACAACAACAAATTGGCATTCTATAGACAACTTATAGATTGTGCTTGCAATGGGGTTTTTAGTAGGAGTAGCTATATGGAGCGGCATGAGTACAAACCTCTCGTGTAGAGCGGCTGTGCCAGTGTAAACAGAGCGGCTCCAATGCCGCTTACCTTGGCTTCAAACCTCAGCATAGGGAAGGGCTAATGCTCCTACCACACAGGATCTTCACCACCCCAATCAATAGCACAAGCAAGATTTTGTTACAGTAATTCATAAGAATATTAAAGTTTGCAATGAGCTGCTGAAGATTAGTCAGTGCAAACCCCGTAAGTACTTTTCATTCAGTTTTAATATTAGGATAATTTTTTTTATAGGAACATATATAAAAAGGCTAATTATGAGTTGCCACTTTTTTTTCCCCTCTCAAAAAAGTGTGAACTTTGGATCAGATTACTTCTTTTTAGAAATTCCCCCTTTACTTTATATTTCTGTTCAGTCATATGTTTTCTTCAAACAGATTCATCATGGTTGAAACATCGTCAACTTAAAGCAAAAAACAATCACATTTCCACCTGAAAATCTATTCCCTACTTCTCGTTACAAGTAATACCTAAGACTGTTGTAACTAGAAGTCTGAAAAAAGGCTTTTTTTTTTCCTTCCAGTTTGTTTACTTTATATATCTGACAGCACTTTGTGAATGGTCACTTTCACTGCCTCCCATGTATAATCATTTTCTCCTTTTGTTTGTGTGGTCTTCCAAATAGAACAGATAAACAGATTAATAGGAAAATGTGTAAACCACAAAAACTGGCCAGGGCTTTCAGAGGTAGGGACAGTGCCTGAAACCACTTTTGATATAGGGTAAATTTCAAGTTGACGATGTCCCTTTAATGTAGCAAACTGAATAAATAACTGGACAACTTTTAAAAACTGTTCCAAGTTTACCTACTCATCATTTTAAACCTTAAAACATCCCAAATTTCAAGTAGGAATGTATGAGCTTTCAAAGTCAGGGTAATTATTATCTGGGCTGGAAAATTTAAGATGGCACATACCGTTTGATGTGCATTTTGAGCACTTGTGTTACAATACTGGCAAATATGGACTCCAACCTAGAAGGATCAAAATTACCTATAATGCATTTTAAACTGAGAGGCAAAAGCAATGCACTTACAAAGTCTGTTCTGACTGGTGGTTGTTTGGATTGAACCTGTAAGATGGAAGCTGTTCAATGTCTGCCTTTGTCAGTCCTCGTGGTTTGGCTTCTCCCAATCGTTCTGCCAAATTCAACAGCGCCTGCAGAAAGTGGAGTTTGTGCTTTTTAAAAACTCATTGTTCAAAGGAGCTCCAGCTCCCCTACAACTGCAAATTTTTTTTTTTTTTGACATAAAATGTTATCACTATCCCACCATATAGTTCTAGCAAGAGGGATTGAGAATCTTTATCTCCCCTTCCCTCACAATTACAGGCTCTTGGAAAACATTCCTTTCAGAGTTTGATCCCAGGTAAGTACTTTTTGAACTGTATAAGAAAGCTCTGTTCAGGTTATCTAAATCTTCATGACTCCGTTCTTAATCCATCCTGCAGCTGCACTCACAGCATGATAAATATTTTGTTTTTAGACAGAAAAAAGCTGAAATAATAGTATGAATAATAAGAGGAAACAGTTGCCCAACCTGACTGCATATTGCTGCCTGGTTGACCTGTAGTTTAAAGGGACAACACCTCTGGCTCCCACTTCTTGCCTAGCTGAGTTCAGGTATGGAGAGATTATGTGCTGAGAGCTTCCAAGGAATGACGAAATCACACTGAACTGGGCAGACTCTTTCAGTAGTAGAATATTTTTATTCATGTACAGGCTTCGCTATGGAGCACGATATCAAAACACTTCACTTCTCCCATGTAAATGATTTATCCTCAATACCCTTGTGAGTTGAGGAAGCAGCCAACAGCTTCAGAAACAGGGTAACTGAGGCACAGAGAAATTAGGTGAGTTGCTCAAATTCACCGAGGGAGCACGTGGCAGAAGTGAAAGCTGAATCTGGATCTCCTGAGCCCAGCCTACTGTCTTAACTGGCATGGCAACTGCTTCAGTGGAGCTTGCACATCTCACACTGGAAATACCGCACCATTGCAAGGACGCAGAACCAAGGCGATAGATCAAGGGAAAGGAGAGGCAGAGGAAGGGAAAACAACTTTTAACTGCCCTCTCATTTCTCCCTCTCAGCACAGCTGCCCTTTTTCCATGGGGGGGGGGGGGAAACAGCAAACAAAACCCCCCACTAGAGCTGCAGCCTGACTGTTTCAATAAGCAGCTGTCTGGCCACTATCTGTTACTAATAAGGCAGCGAGGTTCCTGGGGAACAGAAAAAGGGAGAAGTGGGTTTCTAAGCTCAGGGAACTGGGGGAGAGGGGAGGGAAGAGAAAAGAAAAGCTTAAGACATATCACTGTCAATCTGCTAGCTGGGAGGAACTATATAACCCAAGTGCCGGGACTGAGATAGAAGAATGGCTTTAAAAAGAATGAAGCTGTACTCTAATAGCAACAAGCTACTTCAAGTTGTACATTAGGTTGTTACCAATGCACATCCTGAACCAATAAGCCATCTAAGAGCACACCCTAAGATGGTTTACTGCTTTTTCTTCACATCAATATTTGTATTAGAGAATGCATCAACTGAAATGGTATTTGCATATTTATATACTCTTCCAGTTCACAACTTTTATACCTTATTTCCATATTTCAAAGGTTAGGATTTTTAACCTGTAACTTCCTTGGTATGTGTTTTATCCAATACTTGTTACTTATGACAGTACCCTTAACATTAAGGCAACAAAGTGCATGACGGAAGTTTGTAAGCATTATGTTTCACATTCAGCTGAATTCATCTTGTAATAGTAGCATTAGCGTGTAAAGCGAACATCAATTAGCAAGTCATGTAAAATGCACTACATGACATTATTTGCACAAGACTTACTTCTGTAAAATATTTAAAAATCAATTAAAATGCAAGAAAAAAGTGAAATCTAGAATGAAAAACGGAGTAATTAATGATTAGTAGTCTGGGAGGGTTCTGAAAATAAATATGAACAAAATAAAAGTGTAACATCTTAGTTTTTAACATCCAGTACAACAGGCATAAAATAGTGTTTCTAGATTCTATTTTCAGACATACAGACATTACATTTATTTAGAAGGCCAAAAAAGGATTGAGGGAAAGATGGTAGTCAGTATAAATTCATCATTTAAGTTAACTACTGTTTCCCAAACATATTTGCACTTCATAAACCAACCTCATAGTTTTCCACCTCTCCATCTTCCACATCCAACTCGAAGCTGAAAGCTGGTCCAACTGCAGGTGGCACTGGAAGCATTGATCTGCAGGAAGAACAATCAGGGATAGGATTTATTATTCATAAAATTAAACAGTTGGCCAAAACAATACGCTTTTGCTTTTTTGCAGCAAAGTTATGCCCAATGTTCTCCACCTGCAATTTTGTTCACTTATTAAAATGAATATGCTTTAGAAATTAAATGGAAATATTAAATTAATGCATTAAAGTAAAGGATTAAAATTCAGAATCCAGGCTATTCAACAGTTAAGGTTCTCACGGGAAAGTCCAAGACATGGCACATGAGAGAGACAGTAGAGTATTTTCAATTGCTATTTATAAGGTTATGTCTCAGATACCTACGAGTCAATGTTCCCATAGAAACTAGCATCATTGCATTGATAACTAAAATTCAGAACAGAACTTCTGGCTTCAATCTGTTCGGCTTTTAAAATAGAACAAAAAAATGACCAAAGACAAATTACTCCAAGCTTGAGGTGGCTCTGCAATGCAAAAAACCTAAGTTCTCCAATAGACAAATACATGTAATTAAGTGCGCAAGATGGTCCAATTGCACATTTTGAGAGTAGATCCCACTGCACATTCACCTATACATGTGTATATTACAGGAACTTAGCCCAGGAGAAAACAGAGGGGTTTCTGCATCTGGGAAATGAGATCAAGCGTGGGGTGCCAATTTTTCGGTTCTTAATTTTTTCTTTTTTAATTAAAAACAAGCAATATATATGCTGAAAATTAAGAAAATTCATGATTATAGTTTAAAACGTACAGCAGAGAGTAGGGAAAGTCACAAGTTAAGATTTCTAGGGCACTGTAAATTTGGTCTCATTGGGCTCACACTACAGCAATCTCTCGACTTTGCTAAGTCACCAGTGATGGGGAAGTCAGGAGGGCAGGGCATCTGGGGAAGTTCTGACAAGAACGTGTGATCTAAAGCTTTGCAAGTTCATTGGATCATTTATTCAAATGTAATTTAGCAGAGTCTGCAACTGCAGAGTGCACACAGTGAAAGAAACTGGAGGTTTGGGAATCCAACAGAAGACTTGAAACTTGATGAGCTCTTTTTCAGTGCTGTCTTTCAAATACAGGGAGGAATACAAATATTCATCTTCTCTTTCCAAGCATTTTATGTTCAGCTCAAAAATAGATGCAGCATCCACAGAACAAACAAAGCACGTGGAATCTTTTCTTCCACCCGATTCCAGCAGAAAGGGGCCCTACCCAGTTTTTTAGGCCCATCATAATCCCTGAATTTTGTTTCTTCCCCACCCTCTTAAAGAAATGGCTGACTGGAAGCAGGACAGAAATTCAGCATTTACAACAGATTAGCAGTTCAGTCAATAAGAAAAGTAACAGCACATAGTGTTCCATTATTTTTCAATAAAACAGTTTCAAACTAAGTAAAGCAACTTATCCCTGAATAAAGACTGTTGGATTTGAATTGAGTATAAACACTTCAGTTTTTTATCCCATTGTAAGGACATTTCAGAACGTAACCTGTACCCGCATAACAAAAAATAAGTACAAAAGCCTAGCATGCAAGTATATTTTATATACTGTTACAGGTGGACCAACTCTCAGTAGCCTTCCACAGGATCAGGAAGAGGCCCATGAGTGACTCTGGGAATATGTCCCTGCCCAATTTCACATTTCTACCACTTGCTTGTTGAAGCGCTAGCGCTGTTCACAAGAGGATGCAAACACTTAAAAAAAAAATATAATAGCAAGTGTTTGACTCTGTTCATCCTTGAAAGTGGCTCAACTGTTTCTGCTTGTGGGCAAAGCCCAAATGTGGGAAATTTGGATATGAAAGGTAAACATGTAAGAAAGTTAAAGGCAACTGAAAGAAGCCCCTTCCCATGGGAATGCTGAGGCAAACTAATGACAGGTGTTGCTATGTGCTATGCCTGAACGGGAACAGGCTCTACAGAGTTGGGCTGAGGACAGGATAAGGCCTATGCTAAATGGATCATTTAAAAATGAAAGTACATTAAAAACGTTATTTAACAAGCTACAAAAAGCTGCACAAAACTTACAGCACATATGGTAACAGGCTGGGATGATAAGGGGGTGGTGGTATTGGCTGCTGGGATCGGTATCTACTGCGCCCTGTGAGTCTTCGAGGCATAAAGGGTGGATAAGGCTGTGAGGAGGAAGAAAACCTTCAGTATTTTCTTGCACAGTTTACTAGTATATTTAAATTAACTAAAATTTGGACTATTAGAACTGATTTTTAAAATGCATTAACAAATAAAATTAAAATGTTTATTTAAACACAATTTTATTAAGACAAGGATTCCTAATTATGCAGCTTCCAGCATTTGGTGTGAAATGGCTGAGATATACAACGTACACAGGAAACCCATGAAAATACAGTAGTCTTTAAAATCCTTCTAAAGCCTGGTCTAAAAACCGGGTTAGTACTAGTGTAACTATTTTGATTTGTCTCTAAGGTGCCACAAGAACTCCTCGCTGTTTTTGCTGATACAGACTCACACGGCTACCCCTCTGAAACTTGGTTAGAGTTGTGATCTTATGACCTACTGATATGGTTACCCTGGCACAAACCTTAGTGTGTACACAGCTATACTAGTAGAGAGGTTCCTTACAGTTAGGCCCAATCAAATTCACAGTCCATTTTGATTAATTTCACAGTCATAGCATTTTAAAAATAGTCAACTTCAGTGTTTCAGTGTTGTAACCATGGGCGTTCCTACCCAAAAGGAGGTGGGGAGGTTGTGGGATTCCCAACCCTGCTGCTGTCAGGGGCACTGCCTTCATAGCTGGGCAGCCTGCTGGGTGCCAGCTCTAAAGCAGTGCTACCGCCAGCAGCAGCGCAGAAGCGAGGGGCAGGTTACCAGTTGGGGGCTGACAGCTGGAGCCTCTCCAGGGGTGGGGTGGGTGGGTGTGGGTGTGTGTGTTGACAGCTCGACCCACAGCCTCCTGCCCAGGTCAGGGGCTATCCCAGCCAGCAGCTGCAGAGTTTCCTGCAGGCAGTTTCCCAGAGGTGGGTCTGACTCAGCTCTTGAAGCAGCCCCTGCAGGGGAAGAGGAAGTCCTGTCCCGCCCCAGCCTGGCCAGGACTAGCAGCTGGATCCCTGCCCTTCCCCTACAATAGCCAGATTTCACGGGGGAGATCAGATTTCACAGTCAGTGGCAATGTGTTTTTCACGGCCGTGAATTTAGTAGGCCCCTACTTACACTATAGTTTATTCCCAAATGGGAATGGGAGTAAACTAGTCCTCGGTATCCTTGTGCTAACATTTCTTACTCTGCCTATGAAAATGGGGCAAACATGGTAAAATTTTGCCACTTATTTTGAAGTGACATTTAAAAGAGTATTGAATAATTTATTTATTGACGGGAAAGATCACTGAAGGATTTTGGTGGCACCTTGTCAGTCATTCTTCATGTTTGTGCCATCCATGCAAATGAACTACAAATAGTAGAAGGCCCCTAAAAATACCTGATCCTCCTTTTTTTTTTAAATTGAGAAATTATTTCAAACAAATTATATAAATATATATGCATACATAAAACCCAGAATTTAGGACAATAAATTGACACACTGACACATAATAGCACTCTCATTCTTTCCCACAAACACTTCACCTTAAAAAAACTTAACTTCTACTCCAAAACAATAAGCTTTAATTTTATTCCCTAGTACCAAGTACAAGTACCAACACTATCAAAATGGGTTGTGTGTGTGTCTTCATTTACTCTCATTTCTAAGTCAAGCATACAAGAAAATCAGAAATGGAGCCATTCACCATTGACTAATTACTTTTTAATACTTCATTTTCTTTTCTATTTCACATAAGTAGCATCAAACTAACTTTTCAATAAATCAGTATGAAAAATACAGGATAAATTTTAATGTTTAGGAGTCATTGATCATTTTTCATAAAGCTTCAAAGATTACTCTTCCCTGTCCCAAATAGTACAAATCAACAAATCTAAAATCTCATGGAGAACTGATACTTCTATAATTTGCTAAACTGAAAACACTCACCCTGCTCCCATCCCTTCTCAACTTTTAAAAGCTGAACTTTGTACTTGAGAAAACCCTATTTTCCACCCAACACACACAAACTAGTAGGATGGGCAACAGGGTGGAGCAAATTAAATCAAGGCACTACAGGTAAAAAAGATACTGAAAATGAAGGCCCTGATGCTGCAAACTTACAAAAATATGTAACTTTAATGAATAGTCCTTTGATTTCAATAAAACTACTTATGTGCTTAAAAATAAATAAGTGCAGATGTGGTTGCGGGATCGGGGGGTTAAAATTGTGTTTTTATTCAATGTTATTTCAAAACAAAACTGCTCAATGCTAACAGTGAAAAATTATTTACACTTTCAATACATTAACAAAGTGATTTTGGCCTTTGTGTATAAAATGTTCACACTTTCAAAATTAGTAAAATTAGGCTACTAAGCCCATTTTAGGCACCCAAGAGCAGGGTTTTCAAAAGCATCTACGTGACTTAAGAACACAACTCCAATTGACTTCAGACTACAAACCCTGACAGAGGAGTATCACTTGGCCAAAGCATTTCAGCTCTCTTAACTGCTGGATGTTAGACGTATTGGAAGATGGGAGTGGTTGTGCATGTAGCATGGACTATTTGCTTATCAATTTCGTGTTTGACTTGGTCTCAGAATAAAGATATTAGCGAGGCCATGGACTTGCCTTTTTCAGTATAGGTAAGCATTTTAAGCGTGAAACTTCTTAGCAGAAAAAAAAAATCTTTAAAGAATTTCAGATTTTACCTAACAACCAGAAAACTAAAGAAACAAGCATAAAATGACTAGCAGCAGCAATTCAAGAGGATAAAATGGGAAGTAATGAACTAGCAACAGGATTTAACTTGAAAAATGTTGTGTGTGTGCACCCTGCTGTAGAACAGGTCCATACCCAACGGAACCAATCAGGGCATGTCTTCACTGCAGCTGGGCGTGCGCTGCCCAGCTCAGGCAGATAGACACAGGCTAGTTCTACTTGAGCTAACATGCTAAAAATAGCAGTGTAACCACGGCAGCACACGCAACAGCTCAGGTTAACCCTCAGAGTACAAATCCATCTGCAGCACCTGGGTACGTATTCGGGCAGCAAGTCTGAGCCGTTGCCCAGACTACTCCAACTGGGCTGCTATTTAAGCATGTTGGCATGTGTCTGTCTAGCTGAGCTGGGAAGCCCACTCCCAACTGCAGTGCAGACATACCTTAAGTGTCATAGAAATTCATTACAAAACAAGTGCAGCATTTCAACACTATGGTTGTATAGTTTCTGTTGTAGAAGTAGCAGATTGTGCTGGAACAGAAAACCTTTTTTAAGCAACTGGCATGACAGGCTCTCTACAGGGAATGTTTATCAGAAACCATTAAATGAGGTCACTAACAAATTACCTTTGACTTGTTTAGACATGGAGATTAAACAAATTTCATTATGCAGTGACAGCCTCTAGTAAAATTCTACTCAGTAATGTTTTTTTAATAAAACTGTTGTGATGTACAATAGTAACCCATGCCAGGGTATTGATGAATTGAGAAGATAGCATGAGGAAGAGGGAAGTGCTGAAAGCAATACTTACTACTCCAAAGGACACCTCCTGGTGTAAAGGGTCGTGCGTTAAGAACTGGAGAGGGGCTGAGGGAGTCAATGTTGGTGGATGCGCTGAGGGAGGGTAGGTAAAACCTCCTACCGGAAGGTGTTCTCCAAGAAGTTCTACTTCGTTCTCTATCCTTTGAAGTGGCTAGGAAGAAATAGCGTTTGCTGTATTTAGGATAGTTAATTTTTCCCCACAGATGAGAAACTTACAGCTTTGTGTTCCCTGGTTGCTGTCATCTTTTTACAGAAGAAATGTAACTGATTGGATCCATGGCTTCTGTCATCAACACTAGTGGAAAAACAACCATTTCTCTATCCCCCAAGGGGTTAAATAAGGATCTAGTACCAAGGTTCCCAAACTTTTCTTATGACATACCCCCTTTCAGACCTACCAAACGCCCATGTGCCCCAACCCTTCTCATCACTGATACTTTGTGAGTTGTTCGTAATGCTACCTGTCTTTAGCCATCTGTCCTTATCTTACTGTTACGTACAGATATAGTGCAACGTATACAACTGAAAAAAAACTAAGTTCTGAGCTCAGTTAGATGGACAGTTGCTGAGCAAATGTACGGTGACTGGAGATGAGGACTATGTATGTCAGCGTCTCTGTATCTGTGTTCTCGTAGGTACATCTTGAAGTAAATTAACTACCATATTTTATATAACAAATTCCAAGAGTTTTAAGCTTTGTCTGAATAGCCTATTATGAAAATGCAAAAAATAAAATTAATAAAACCCACCATTACACAATGTCTCCCATGTATCGCCTCCTCCGAGATGTCTCACGTACCCACAGTTTGGGAACCCCTGATCTAGTATATAGCAACATTTCCCGGCTAGTCACACTCAGAGGCCAGGACATTTGCAAACTGGAAATTAAACATGGAAGTTACTGTAATTCCCTAAGAATATGAGCAGCAGCCTGCTCTCCTCATGCACTACAATGAAGCTAGCTGTGAAACATCAAATGAAAGACTTTTAGCAAGAGGCTCAGAGTTCTTTTGTCCTTCTGGCCACAGTCTACAGCAATGGTTCTCAACTGCGGCACAATCAGCACACAGCTGCGGCCCATGTGACATCCTCAGGGCCATACAAGTAGTATATATATTGTGTGGATGCGGCATACAACACAAAGAGCTGCATATGCAGCCCACAATGGTAAATAGGTGGGAACCCCTGGTCTATAGTAAAAATAACCCCTTGAAATCAGCAACCAGAGATGATCACGAGGGTACACAGAAAATCACGAGGGTACACAGAAATACACAAACATGTCAGTCAATGCAAGTTCTTCAATAAAATATTCCACGGCAGTAAGAGGTCTTAGAGTGGATAGATGTTCACGATGCGAGCTTGGGACTCACGAGACCCATGGTCAATTCTTTGCTCCAACAGAGACCCTATAGGACCTGGGGGAAGTCACTTTGTCTCCATGTGCTTTGGCTCCCTATCTATAAAATGGGAATGACTGCACTTCCCCCTACCTCATAGGGAGCCTGTGACAATAAATACACTGAAGAGTGGGAGGCGCTATGGGGGCCAGATAAAATCTGTTTATTTTAGATACTTAAGTAAAATCACTACTGGAATCCAGGAGTACTTTAATACTGATCCTCTGAATCAGTAGGCTACATATTGGTGGGCAGTATCTAGTACAAAGAAGTGCCTAATCCACAGATTATCTCGAAAATGGTTCCAGTTCTCTACTATTTCCTTATAGAATCCATTACCTACATATTTCCAGGTGCCTTCAACTTCCACTAGGTGCCTGAGCAAGTTAAAAATGTTTCCTATGGGAACGCTCATTGTTTGCACATGAAGTAAGAACTGTTATCCTCCCTCCACGCCTCCTCCACCAAAGCCTGCTCCCCCTGCCACTAAAACGCAGGGTATGGATACACTGTACTGAGCTTCTGCCTTCTCTTGGTTGCTTTCATAGTCATGTCAATCGTGTATCGCATTTACACAAGACATTTTAAAAACACTCTTTACCTAGTGACAGAGAGATAACCTGTTAAATAAGAGGCTTCCGCTCCCCTCTTGCACTTGGGCACCACAATCCTTCCTTGGGGTGCCCAGGTTATTACACCCAATGACTGTACATACGTTCTATTACAACAGTCAGTAACCCTCACAATGGTGAGCTTTGTTTGTGACACTATTTCATTAGAAAGATGCTAATATTAGCTCTGCAATGATACTTTGCTGCATTTAACCTCAGAAGCCAGTCAATCATTTGCCTATAAAAGGGCAATAAATCTGCTCAGGTGGATCTCTCTCTGGCACCAACAGCAAAGTAAAGGACCATAAGTGAAACAGTAGAGAGGAGGAGGCAACCCTCACTTTACCCATCCCCCCACAAACACTCTGGTACTAAATTCAACATATTTTCAGTTCTGTTTTAAATTATTTCTGGGCAGAGAAGCAGCATCATAAGTTCCAGCCCAAAAGACAATTTTAGGAGGAATTCATAAATAGCGTATAACAGCGGTTGAGACTAGATATGCTAATCTAAAGCATTGCTATATTATATATTACCTTATTATTAAGAAAGGTCAGCCCAAGGATCAGATCAATCTTGGTTTCAAAATTTTTAAAATTCTTAACCCCCTACTGTCTCACTAACAGCCCCTTTACTTCCTGGTTGCAAGTAGATAGCGCCACCTACTTCACGAAACACAGCAGAGGAAACCACTGGGTGGAAACAAAAGGAATGGGAAATTCTGTCCCCTGTTCTGCTGAACAAAACTTTAAACTGTAGGCATTTCTATGGCACTCATCATTGTAACCCTGTGGGCCTGGCATAGGAGAGGTCAACCCCCACCATACTGGAGTCACCTGATCTTAGTGTAACACCACACCTGACTCAGAGGTTCAGCCATAAGGGGCATGCATAGGCCTGAGCATTTAATCATATTGAAACTGCCCCTTTGTATGTATGTATGAATCAGATATTGGCATCTTCTAAAGTGCCAGCCAAACATACATTTAGGAGGATACAGATGCCTGTCCACAGTCTCCAAAGAGATAATAAATGGGGATTATGAAGTCTCACTTTTTGTTAGGTGAAATATGTAAAATAAAGTCACCTAAGCTCCACTCCTATCACAGAGCTGTTACCCCTTCCACTAAGCTTTCCCTGAGTGGAAGGGCTCCATAGCCTTCTCCAGAAAATATCTAGGTTCTCTGGAATGCATTTTCAAGGACACAAGGCACTATGCTTTTCTCCTTTGTTCCGTCAAAATTCGCAATTTAAAAAATATCTGTCTGAGGTAACTGGATGGGGGCAAGGAGAGGAGAAAGGACAATTTACTCCTCACATTCTCCTATTTCTTTCTAGGAAGCAACCTGTGATTTTGTTCCACCAAGACCACTAGACTTTTCCTTCTGCTCCCAGGAGAGAGAAAACAACTGCAGAAGCAGTAGGAAATATATGAAAAAGGTGAACATTACTTTAGGCTCTACTGACAGGAGCAGAGGAGGAACAAGAGAGTATGTGGCCTGGGAAATACTAATAAGACAAAGGTGATTGTAATTTCTTGTATCAGATTCTTATGGGCCATGGACTTTTGCTTGGGAAGCTCTGCCATTGCATCCAAAATCTGTAAGAGTTACTGAGTGTCAGGTGCACGCACTTTCCCCTACCATAAAGCCAGCTGAATGATGACAGAAAATATTCTAGGAAAGTTAGTTAGTAAAATATGATACTTACCGAGCGTGACTGTTGCGTTTGGAAGGGAACGAACTGGCCTGGCGGTGGCAGGTGAGGAGGATGGTGCGGAGAGAGGTGAGGAGGATGCAAAAGAAATGGATCACTAGAAATAAGGGGTGGGAATGCTGCGTATGGTACTGGTAAGTGTTGGACTGAGCATGCCTGAAGCATCTGTAAAAGAAAAGAAGAGACCACATTTACAATTTTACAATTCTGCTTCTAACCTGAATAGTCCTTTAATTTATAACAGTTTCGTTGTTCACTAGAAGTGGCATTCAAAGGAAATGTACCACTTGCCTCAGAATGCATTGATTTTTTTATATAACCCTAATGTGATAAAAGAGATGCTTCCACTCAAGAACTGAGATTTATTTCAGAGCTTTGATATCACAGGCAAAACCTGAAAGGTGCTGAGTACCCTTCACTTCAGATGAAGATAAGGGGAGTTGAAGGTGCTCCGCATCTCGCAGGATCAGGCAGGACTTCTGACTGAAATACAAGAAGGGGTAGTGGTTACTTACCCCAGTAGCTTCTATTCTCCATACGTATTGCCTCCTCAGAACCACATGCCTAACTACATGGTTACACAACCATTTTAAGCAGTAACTTGGACAGACAAGATGGGTGAGGTAATTTCTTTTATTAGACCAACTTCTGTTGGTGAAAGAGACAAACTTTCGAACTTACAGAGAGCTTCTCCTTAGGTCACCCGAAGAAGAGCTCTGTGTAGGCTCGAAAGCTTGTTTTTCTCACCACAGAAGTTGGTCCCATAGAAAGTATTACTACACTCAAATATCCTGGGATCAACACAGCTATAACAATTGAGCAGCAACTTGTCTCAAGTTCTAGGTATAAATATTCCAACCCCAAGCATTGCTCAGTTCTTCTCTACCTCCAGAATCCTTAACTTCTGAAGCATAGGAGAGGAAAGTGTCACTGTGGCTCTGTGGAGGGAACACACCCTAAGCTCTGTAGAAGGTTGCCCCTCTTCTCTCCTTTGAAATTGCCTGCCCAGGACACGCTACAAGACACTAGGTAGTATGCCCTCTGGAGAAGGGAAGCAGGTTGAGGAAAGGAAAACATTTCATGGAAATTTCAATTTTTTTTTAAACAATGGAAATTTCAAAATTTGAAAAAGTTTAACCAGCTCTACAGTTCATCTTAAAATGGAAAAAAAAAATAGTCCAAAGTTTTCCTTTTCCCCTGAATTTTTCAGAGAGTTCTAAGGAGGCGGGCTAAGGAGCACTGCTAACTGAACGACAATCAAAGCCCTGCCCCCTCCCAAAACAAGCATCTGCTCTGGACACAGGATTGAGAGAATCTCCGTTTGTGAAGGCGTGGAACGAATTTCAGAGAGGAATCCCATAAGGTTTCTGTTAAGGGCATATTGTGGATACTTGCCACTGAAGCAGCCAAACTCCCTAGTGAATGAGCCCTGGGAAATCAGGTACAAGATGTAGGCCAACTTTCAACAAGAGCACATGCACAGTTTTATGCACTTGAGACAGTCCTTCAGTTGAGATGGCCTAATCTTTAGCTTTCCAGAGGCCATGGACTGCTAGGCTTCCTAAGGAGGGACAGAAATTTTGATATCCACAGGAAGGGACTTCACTTCCCTCAGTATGGTTATGGGGCATTGGAAAAATACAGGCCTTGAGACAGACATGAAGATTCTATAGGGTAGGACTACCATCAGAATCCAGCTCCAAGACTCTCCTGGCTGAGCAGACAGTCCTAAAACAAGGGGAAAAGGGGTAGAAAGAGCAAGATCCTATGGACTCAGAAAGACTCTTGGTAATTTTAATGGAAACCAAATTCAAGTCACAGGGATCAGCAGGCTTCCAGATGGGAAGCGTTACGATTGTAAGATCCTTTAACTTGTTACACCAGGGACTGGAAAAAGCCACCCCTTTCTTAGAAACATTGTATGCAGAAATAGCCATAACTGTTGCCAAGACATCAAATAAGAGGAAGTCTCTTCAACACCAATTGCACTTAGAAGCATAACACTTCCTAGTGAAAGGGGTCTGGACTCTTCACACTCCAACAGAAGAAAGTAACCTTGACCTAGAATCCCGTCATGTTGTCAAGTGAAGCAGTTTGGGCGCTGGGTACAAAATCCAATTTTTCTGCTGGAAGAAGGGTTGTCCCAGAGAAAGATGATTGGTGGTTAGGGACTGGGGCACTAGTCTGGAACTTCGGAAACATACAGGAAGCAGACTTCCTGCATGACCTTGGGCATGACATTTAGCTTCTCTGTGCCTCAGTTCCCCCATCTGTACAATGGGGATGATCGTACTACTCTACTTCACAGAGGTATTGTGAAGATAAATACATTCAAGATTTGAGGTGCTGTGATGTTAATAGGGGCCATAGTCAGAAAAAGAAAATTGCAATAAAATCAAAACTAGAAAGTTTTTAAAACTACCAAAAAAACCCTTCTACTTTTACATACAATTTTTACTACATTTTATGAATGCTCTGGAGAGGAACTGAGGGACTGCTTGAAAGGGATGCAGTATTCATACCCCTGCACAATAGAATACAAGGCTAAAGGAGCACATATACACCCTGAACTGCCAACTACTTTTTAAAAAGGTGCCATGGTAAGGCACACAACTCCTGCAGTATGGCTCTGTGCAGGCAAGGTCATGAAGGAGAACCTAAGAATGGGGAAAACCAGGTTTTCAGTACAGCAGTGAGTAAGTGCTGTGTGACTGACAGTTCTGCCTCAATACAAATATGCGCAAAACAATCACCACTGCCTTTACTGATTAGAGGGGGACTGCTAGAAGGTGCCATGAACCTGTCCCCAATGGCTCAGTACATTGCCTCCAACACACTTCCACCTCCATAGGCCCAGGAGTGTTGTCAACATCCAACACACTGTATATATTGACAATACTGACTCTGCAAATGGTAAAGAGATGTCACTGATGAGCAAATGCCAGTACTGGAGGTGTAATCAACCTCACTTTATTACTACTACTAATTATTTGTATTACTATAGTGCTCGGAAGGCCTCGTCAATGACCAGGACGCCCTTGTGTTTGTACAGCACCTAACACAGAAGTCCCTGCCCCAAGGAGTTTACAATCTATGTATAAAACAAGAAACAGATGGCTAGGGACAGGGGAGTACAAGTGAACATGAGGCAATAGCGGTCAGCATGATGGGCAGTGGTCTTTGTACTCTAGCAGCCTAACCATTGTCAAGTTTTGTGTAGGCATCACTGAGGTCACGACCCCCAAAAATCAATGTTTACTAGAGGCTGATATACTACATAAGATTAATTGGATCTGAATTTTGATTTCCCCTGAAATGCACTATTAACTGTCCTTGACCATTCACCATCATCTACTGCAATGCAATTTAAGTGGCAGCCCACAGTCTTATCATGTGGTGACAAGTTATTGTAGTGCAAATGAAATTTTATTGTGTACCATAAACTGAGGATTGGTTCTCTGAATTAACTGAAGATGAATTTATATACTAGAACATTAAGTACTATGGTACAACAGTTTGGTGGAGATTCTTGAAGCATATTAAAACAGACTTCAATGATGACGTATTTAAATAAATATTAGATAGCTTTTCGAAAAGCTTGCAATAGCTCAAACAGAAGTTACAGCCTTGATGCAGGAATTACTGGGTAAAGTTCTATGGCCTAGTCTAACCTCCTGTGTAACAAATCATCATAATGGTCCTTTCCGGCCTTAAAACCTATGAATATTGATCTAGTCCACACAACCACTATTATTCAATATTGAGAACAAAATCTTTATTGCTTACCTCACAATACACTGAGAAAACATGTCAATTCAAGACTAATTTTATTTCATTCTGTGTTTTTATTATAGTTACGTATAAAGCTGGAGCGTGTAGTGATCACTACAGGTAAAGATGCCTGGCCATTTCCATTCTAATAGACCCTTTCCAGTTGCTTATATCTAGGGCCAATGTTTTCTGGCAATGAGAAAATAGTAATTTTGGATTTTCAAAGCTGTTTAGTTCAGAAATTTCAGATATGCATTATATTAATACAAAAATATTGTATTGTAATACTGAGGGCTAGAGCCAGCTCCACAGGGGAGGTGGGGGACAGATATGGGGCACTGAGGGCTAGTGTCAGCTGTGTACTGGGAGGAAGGCGGCAGGAGCCCGCTGTGTGCAGGAGAGGAGCAGGGGAGAGGCATTGTGGATACTGCGGAGAGCAGGTGCGAGTGCTGTCTGCTCTGCAGCATGGCCAGGGAGCCCTGCATTCTGCTCCTGTGCCCTGCCCACCATGGGGAAGCTCCGTGGCAGTTTTGCTGGGCCCAGGCTTGTGTGAGGAGGGGAGAAGTTGGCAAGGAGTCTCAGCAGCAGCCAGCCCCCAGCCTCTGCCCTGCACTCTGTGGAGTCAGGTGTCTCAGGGGCCGACGCCAGGGTTGCCAGATTTATACTGCATTAATAGCCCAAAGTCACTTTAAAAACTAGCCCCAAAACATCCCAATCTATTTATTGAAACAAAGTGGGGAGAGTGCTGGAGGGGAGTGTGTGTGTGTACTAGGAGGGGTATGTTGGCTGGTCTGGAGGGGGTACCTGCGGGCTCACACAAGGTGGGGGGCAGTGTTGTGCTCCTTGTCACAGTGGTAGGGCGGCTGGCGCAGGCCCAGGATGCAGTGCCAGCACGTCAGGGCTCTCCCCCTCCCCAGGATAGGGAGCCAAGGCCGGGCCCCGTCAATCCTGCTGGGCAGAAATCGGGGAGGGGGTGAGAAGAGGACTGACCCTGCATGCCCCATCCATGCATCGCCTCTGCCATGCAGATGGGTGTTTCCAGGCAGAAATATGGGCAGGGGTGTGTGTGTGTGTAACCCTGCATGCCCAGCTCACCCTCTGATCTGACCCCCTGTATAACACAGGACAGAACTTCCCTGAATTACTTCCTATTTGAATTACAGCAGATCTTTTAGAAAACCATCCAATCTTGATTTAAAAACTGCCAGTGATGGAGAATCCACCACGCCCCTTGGTAAGTTGTTCTAAGGTTAATTACTTTCACTGTTAAAGATGAGAAAGTTACTCAGCTTGTGCAGTAATGGAGGTACTTCGAGATGTGTCCCCCTGTGGGTGCTCCACTTTAGGTGTTTATTGCGCCCCTCTGCTCGTAGCTGGAGATTTATGGTAGCAGT